AAACGATAAGCGAACGATAACCTAAATGTCACGCCAGGCACTCCGTAGACCTACTTCTCCACATTACTAGTGTTGGTCCGAGTGCATAAATCAAGTGCTGCGCCATTCCTGTGCAGAAAGCACTGTAAGCCTCTAATCTGAGGTTGTGAGTCATATTTTGTGTTTTAGCCTATGTGCTGGTATGCTATGCTAACTACGGTTTGGAGAAACATTGGAGAACGATATGGACCCCACCAAAAACGATAATCATGTCAAATGGTATTGCGCTACACAAGTAATTTTGTCCGCTGCTCATATAACTTAACATAATATATATATATACATATATTAATAACTATATATATATATGTACGCAAGCCCCCCAAAAAGATCTACCATTTTTGCCTCTCGCATGCATGTCTAAGTAAATATTATAGATGGATCTACAAGCAGCAAAGAACATGCAGGGGGTTGAGATTATATGTTCATAATGTGTCAAGTGTTATATATTTTTTGTGAAAGCCAGAAGATAGGAGCAAAAGACAAGGTTGATAGGCGCAAAGAAAAGGAAGGATAAGAAGACCTTGTTTTGTTGATTTTGGTCCTCTAAGATTATGCACATCAAGGAGTTTTTTTATTTCACTGTCAGCTTTCGATATACAAATTACTTTCCTAAGGATCTTACCCAAGAGAACGTTCAAACAAGACCATGCAGAAGACGCACCAACGTGTTCTCAAACAAAATCATCAATATGATATACACTGTAAAAAAGTGCTCAATGATGATAAAGAATGTTTGAATTATATTGTTGAAGGACTTACAATGTATTATGACAACCTAGGCTGCATCAAAATCAGAGTCTGAGCAAATAGAAAAGAATTGTGAAACAATGTTTCTATTGAATGACTATTTGACAGATGCAACTGCTAATGTAGATATCTAGCATTATTATACAAACACACCCTTTGATGCTGGCACAAGGCATTGAAAAAGGCCACTACATAGGCAATGTATGCATGCTGAGGGAATGCATTAATGTCCTTTATGAAAGATTATAGCCAGAGATGAGATGACTGAGAAGGGGTATCCATTAAGGACATGGATATTACTGAGTTCAACATTCAGAATATAAACTTACAAATATGACCCACACAAAAGAATCCATCGCACTAAGACTGTTTGGTAAAAGACAACAATGCTTATTAAGACTTAATCCATGACGTGAAGTCATTATATATATATATATATTGAATTTGTTGGATTTCTTGAGGAAAACAACATGTTCAAAACTGCAAACTATGTCTCCAAAGTGGCTCCGTATTTTGGGAATTCCCAAACCAAAACCAAAAACAACAAATACAAACTCTGAGGGGGGTCTTTGGTTGGTGTTGTTTTCATTGAGTTTTTTGTTTCCTTCATCAAACGACACAAGACATGTGTTTTTTGTTTTTGCTTTGGTCTATGCAGCCTTGAATCACAACACACCAACAACAGCACAAGGTGTGTGTTTTTTTTGTAAAAAGTAAGCGAAAACAAACAAAATGTGTTCTTGTCTTTGGGCATTGGTGATTGCATAGACATATATGACCAAAGCAAAAGCACAAACAACATAGGTTTTTGTTTTTAGATGAGGGACACCAAAAGAAAGCAAAAAAAGGCAATGAAAACCAACAAAGCAAACTGTTCAGGCCGAAACCACCAACTGTCCTCAGAGTCTTGTCTATTTTGTGTTGGGCTTTGGTTTTGGCAGTCTAGAAGAAGAACACCATTAGACAAGGGATAGAGCAAATGCACGCGGGGAGCATTGAACATACCTCATTGATCATAGAGATTGTTTGCACAATATCAATCTCAGTGATTGCCTGTGACCAAGTGACAACCTCATACATACCTCATTAATGCTTTTCTTGCACACGATCAATCTTCATCACCTGAGGTTAGCGCTGGGGCCGGGTGACCCGCTGGGGGACAAGGTATCCCACCAATTCAAAAACGGTTGACAGATCTTCTATTTCAAGCAACATATATATATATATATAGTTCTCCCTGAGACGTTTGCTTGGAAAAGTTATTGCAAACATTTGAAACAGGTTGATCTTTGGGGGGTACCATATATATATATATTACATATATCAATATTATGATTATGATATACTACAATGTCATTTTTGTTGGTGTGTGCCTTCTAGAACGAAACTAATAATAACAAAAATAAGAAGAAGGCAGCGGCGGCAGTAGCTGTTTGCAAAGCGGGTGGTGGGTAGGGCTGTTGTACTGACTTGTCACTTCAAGCAACAAAACACACTGAGTTTGGCAGGAGGGGGAAACACAGCTGGGATGAGAAACCTCCTCAGGTTTAATTTTGTTACCTTCTGATTCTGGACAGAAACTAGCTAGCAAGGTGGTTTGCCCAGTCCAGACACCCCAAGTATATAAAGGAGTGTGAGGTGTTGTAGAGGTTGCAAGTATCATCAAGAACCAAAGCTCAAGGAAGTCAGTCCTTATCTCCCCAATGCACGCCTATGCCCCATCTTGCCGTGCCCTGGTCACTCTTCAGAATATCATATCCATCCATCCATCATCCATGACTTGGGGGATCAACAAAACCATGTGTTGACCGACCCTCTCCACCAGCTCTCCCACCGACCCATCTCCACCCAGCCGTCGACTCGATCTACCGAGGCTGACCCTTTCACGGCCATGGAGATCCGCTCCTGCCGCTGCTGCTGTAACAGCACACCGTTGCTTGACATGCGCGACGGTTAGCTCGGCCCACGTGCGCGACCACGGCTGGGCGGTTTGGCGGCGTCGAAGAACGAAGACCATCCATGGGAGGCCACGCCTATGTATCCTACATTGGGGTGGTTGACCTGGGGTCAATATTCCATAGATGGGTGGTCGAAACGAAAGAGGGGGATCTCCCAAGCATCCACTCTTGTTAGTGGGGCATGGTTGACCAAAAGAGTCAGTGTATTGGGGGCGAATGAGTCCCTACCCGTATTGAGCGTATTGAGTGTGATAGCAAATGAGGAGGGGAACCGCCCAACAATTGATTGAAGCATTTGTTTGGACGCAGCTACCGACCTACCATCCAGTGATTCCTTGAAGCACTAAAGTTCCAGGAAACTTCTTGTTGTGGGCTTGATCCCTTTTCATTTGGATCCCAAACTGAAACAATTCCTTGCTTGTATTTCGGAGGAGCAGCAAGAACAAGGTGGCCCCCAGTAGCAAGACAAATCGTAATTGTAGGTCTAAGCAAGAGGATGTACCTTTCTTTTGTGAAGTTTGTATAGAGGATATTAGAAGGTTTTACACTGTATGCAGGTTTCCTGCTACAGAGTTGCAGGCCCATGATCCATCCTGAGAGCCTCTCAGAATCTCTCCGAAGTTTCCTTTGATGTGCATACACACTACACCTTGGAAAGGATCCTACGTATGTAGGTGATGACAGTGATGAGTGATGCATCTCTTGCACCAGCTATATACAGCTAGCATATTCCGCATGTTGCGCATTTGCTGGGTGTCACCGGAACATACCAGACCAACAGTGTCCAGTGTTGCACACATGGATCCCAAAAGCTAGGCGTGCTCTTGGATTCTTCTCCCCGAAAAAAAAAGAAGAGAGGTTTCACCTCAACAGCCACATCCAGTGGGCCTGGCTCGTTTGGCTCATTCACTTGTAGATCTTTCGGCTTTCCTGACTGGAGAACCTCGATGGCGAACTCCCTCCACGTCAGTGTGGCATCCACCGGCTGGATCTTCCGGCGGATCATCCGGCGGATCGGGGCCTTGGTACCGACAGCGAAAAACGATCACATATAGGTGTTGGTCAAATGACAACATGTCTCAACACAGGAAACCGCCTCATGGGACCTTCCAAGAGGTCGGTTTCAGGACCATAAAGACAGGTGGTTTGATGTGATTCCTGGACAATGTTCGTCACACCTTCTCAAGTGTCCAGGTACAAAATAGATCGCTTCTGCTTGAATACAGAACCTTTTGATGTTGGATGCGTTTCATAAACTTAAACAAATACTTTGAACAACTAACCAAAACGACCTAATTACGGGGCGCTGGAGGGGGCCTGTGGTTCTTCCATTCGTAGCCCTTCCAAGGCTGCGCCGCTGTTCGAGCAGCCGCTGCGACCTGCAGCCTTTGGATCCTCTTTGTACTTAAGAGGTCTGCAGCCGCAGCCGTTGGATCAGATGCATCCGGGGATCCGACATCACAGGGAGAAGGGTCTGCATCAAAGGAGCCAGATGTTGGATCACATGCAGATGTTTGTGCCACAAAGATGTTGGATCCAACATCTTGGTCATCCTTTGGAGCCAGGGTGCAATGTTGGAGATCTGAGAGACATCCGCGAGACGTCGATATGTCAAGAGATGTCGAAGATTCAATTCGCAGGGATCTCTGTCAAGTGAACTTCCTGGGCGCTTGAGCATTTGGGCAAGAGCATTTACCGGATCTCCTTTCCGCTACGAAGATCGACTGCCGCACCGCCGCACCACTGTTTAGGGCCACGCCGACTGGTGTGACCAGGATGACCACGATGACTGCCACGCCCGAAGTTCAACGCCTGCCGCACGGCCTCCAAGAGCTGTGCTTCTGTCGAAGAGACCTCGATGATCGACATCCGTTGGCTCCGAAACCGTTTCTCCTGGAGAGTCCTGCGAAAGGCTCAGCTGCTTGAGTTGAGTCGCCGCTTCCGTGCTTGATCTAAAGCGCAGAACTCACTCACGAGAACGTGAGCCAGCATTTCCTGCATCAGCTGATTCTCTTCACGTGGCGTTGTGCCAGGTACTTGTATGCGGTGGGGATGGACAAAGAGAGCCAGCGCGAGTGGTGGAGTAAAAATGATTAAATATGCTAGGTTCCGAGTCCTTGACATCACATGCAGCTTTTCCGTACCAAGAGCATTCAGATGGATTTTGCAGGTGTAGAACTGTGAGTAGTGAGTCTGGCCTTTTGCCCCACCACTAAAGGGTGCAGTGTTTGGCATCCTTTGCTCGAGCGCCAGGATGATCGCATTGAGCTGGCGGCAGCCTCAGATCTCGCTGGATGAGGTGGATCTAAGCGAGGAAGATGCCAGACAGTGGATCTGAGAATAAGTTTCCGTTGTCAAGTTCACTCCCAACTGAGTGAGATTGTCCTTAAGGCCCATAAAGGCCCTTTGGATCCGTCTGGCCTTTAGCATGATTGATCTCCAAAAGGCTCAATCGGCATCCCCTAAGGGACTTTTTTTGCGAAAACCAGCCGATAGGCTGAAGTTAGTTGTTATTGGGGTAGGGGGAAGTGCATGTAAACCATGTTAGCCTGGTGGTGTTTTTACTTTTCTACGGAGGTTCGTTTTGGTGGCTTGGTGATGCAAAAGATGCAAGGTGATGGAGGTATTGCATCACTAGCATCATTACTACCCGAGATTAGTAGACATTGCTAGTCAAAAGCCATTCTATTGACATGTGAACATAGCCAAATATTATGTCAGTGACTATGTACATAGCGGCTATATGACTAGATCCATTTATGGAACGTGCCCTACACCAGTCACTTGCTGAGACGAGTCCTATGACTTCCCGAGACCACTGCTTTCAGTTTTGCCCGGTCAACATAGCAGAAATATGGAGCCGCCGCGGAAAATGAGCCAATGGCAACAGCGGCAGTAGTGGGGACAGCAGTCCAAGCAGAAAACCCAAAAAAGGAAGACCAGGGCATTGGGCAGTCATATCCACCACAGCAGTGAAGGTTGTTCCACCAATAATTTAGAAGTTGCAGCATACTGAACATGGGGCACGAAAGTGCACGGCATTTCTTGCATCACGGTGTGTTTCTGCAGTCTTGTGTTTTGGTCTATGTTTTTTTGCTATTACCGTGGCGGGGCGCGTGGCCGATGGGACAGGAACCTGCGTGTTCCTCCTGGGTTTCGTTTCCACCTTCTCAGGTGGTGGGACTGTACATGACTATACCTCTTACATCCTTTTACTATGTATCCCCCTCCGTGCTATGAATGTTTCGTTTGGACACCACACCCAACGAGCAGAAAATTGATGGAACATGATTGAAGTCCGTCATCCAAAAAGGCGACAGCGATGTCGGGACAGTGTGGGTGACGAGTCGAAGAATGTCGAGGAGTCGAGATTTGTCAGGCCCTTGAGATGGATGGCTTCGAGGACGGATTCGAACATATCAGTTAGAAGATGTTGGGAGTATGATGGAGTAAGTTCCAACTGCTAGATGTTGATGCATCGAACTGCGTTTCTATTCGGAGTGATTCTTGAATTTGTTGGGCGCTTCCCGTGGCCTTCAAGAGCCGTTGTCTACAAGGCTCACAAGGACTCAGACACAAAACAAATCACGATCCTCTTCATGATGCGCCTGATGTTGTATGGCTTTTGTTCGGCTCCACGTTGATGGCATGGGCACTTCAACGCAATTCGCCGCACAAAAAAAGTGGATCTTGCCATGTATAAACGGAAGATCAAAGAGCACAAAATGAAAAAACAAGCAACACATGCGAGGGGATGACTGGAGGCAGGGAAAGGTGCAGTCCTGTAGATCCTTTAAGGATTGCACTGTGATCATAGGGGCTGATGAGACCCACAAAAATTGGAGATGCCCCCCCTGTCACGAAATCCCACTTTCTATGCCAATGTGTTGCATGCCACTTCACATACTTGCACCCAGAAGATAGAGAGTTCACCATGGTTTGGAGCATTCTATTGCCCATTTGCACGGATTCTGGTGGCGTACTAGCCACAGACAGGTCTATCACAGTTGCTCTTTGGTTGTGCACCCGATTCTGAACATATGTTCCTGATCTGGGTGGAAGAACCACCAAAAACCAGTGCTTGTTTCCCCTGCTTTGGGGAAGAGAAAACCAACGCAGTGGTGAAGAAGTGTCAACTTCTTATGCGGCCATGGCGGCTGACAGTCAAGCCGGAGGCCTTGGGCAAAACGGAAAGGGAAGAAGTGAGCTTGTCTCAGAAGTGAGCCCTCACCAGAACTACTGTAGGATTCAACAATCGAAAATTTGAATTGAACATCCTTTTAGCATTTTTAAAACCTTCCGTTGGTTGGTGGTATCATTTAGTGACGTGATATATATATATATATATAGTGGTCAATTGCAGTACACTGGCCAAACAAAAGTTGCATCTTGAAATTCAAACTCATCCAATAACTGCGACCCTTTCCCCTAGAATCCTACACCTGCAGTCATTTTTCACATCGGGAAGCAATTTGATTACTATAGTTTTCAACGGTGTGATCACTCACCGTCCCACACCTGCCACAAGAATTGCAACTTCTCTATGAACTTCTTCATTTGCTTTTCCAGCCGACTCAACAGTGTTTTATGAATTTGAACACGTGTAACAGTCAGAGTCATATCGTTTGCCTGAAGTATAGTAACATATTCGGAGACGAGCAAAGTTTGTTTTGAGAAGTTTGGGAGAAACAACATGTGAGAGTGGCACAATGGAGTGACGTGGCTGGCCAAAGACAAGCGTTAGAGGGAGTGCCTACTGCTAGGACCTAGAAGGGATGTTTGTGATGAAACTTCGTGCAAGGATGCGGGCTTCAGAATAGTTTGTAACTGAATGAAGGGATTGCCGTCGACGATGCAAGGTAGACATGCTGCGGTTTGCAATCAAGCTATAACATGGCTAGATTGGCTAGATGGTAAACATGTTGAATCACTTGTGTCATACCCGCGCGGTCATGCAACACTCGACTTGTCCAATGAAGACTGCTTTTTTAGGAGAATGGACAGATGTTTGAAAGATCAAATCATCGGCAGGTGGATCCTCAGACACGTGAGGTGGATTTGCCACAGAGCACATCTTAAAGCCAGCGCATGCAACATCCTAGAACCTGAATGACCTCAACTTAGTGGACCACCAACCACCCGGAATATGGCCCAACTTCCTATCAAAACAGGGGTCAGTTGGCTTCCAGGATGAAGAACATGACCACTTGGTGACCCGCCAGCGGCTCCCACAGCAACTGGGGCCGAAGGAGCCGAGATGGACGAAGAGGGTCCAGCGATCTGCTGGGTTTGCCGAGATCCGGACAGGCGAGGACGGCGGGTTGGGCAGCACACAGTGCACAGACATCTCCAAGATGTGTTCTATTATATATAACCCAGACATACCCAAACATGACCCATTGTTGTGACTGGAATATACTGGAAGAAGATCTGTTATATATATAAATATATGCCTGAATTGCCTCTACAATCCTCTACAATGGATACAATGGGTCCGTAAAAAAAAAGAAACACACACACACCCACCAATTGGTTTCGTCAAATCTGCCCGTCCCCCGTATTTGGACACGGATCTGCGTACTTGAGAGAGGCTACGGCTGGACACGGCTCTTGGGGTCCTTCGGCGCAGACACCGACACCAGAGGGTCGGACGTCGACCTCTCAGCGGGGACCTGTCGGTTCCAGAAGATGGATGGAATCCACATCAGTTCCTGAACCGAACCGAACTTCCATCCATCCATCCATCCAGTTGTCAGGATGGATGGATGGAAGAAACAGCCAAGGACCGTGATTTGAAACATAGATAAACATAGGAAGAAACAGCTGGCCAGCTCATTGTTCTGGGTCATGTTTTCTTGAATCTTCTCAAGTACCAGGAGGTTTCAAGGGTGAGGATCCACCTTCACCTTCATGGTCTAGATCTCGCTATTATGATATTTCTGCTCATTGCCTGATGTTGTAGACTGGAGCCCCTGCGTACTTGAGGGATTTATAGTTATATATATATAGTACGCATTAGTTGCTATATGTTGCTATGACTCGAGGTTATTATACTCACAACGCTGCCATACCCATGGTACCCACTGCAGTTGCAGATTAATCATTAATCATTAGAACCGCTGAGAACTATGACGTGCCAAATAGCTTGGGAGCATCCATGACCTCCAGTGAAACCCAACATGTTTCAACTGCCATGAATCAAGATCCATCAATGAAGCGCCAACAATTTCCTTCAAAGAATTTTCCCATGAAATCAAGTGAAATCATATATGACATGATCTAAACTTCATGAAACTTCCATCAAATCAAGGGTCCCATGAAAATCATATACCTCAAGGATCCCATGTTTCGCCTCCAGTGCCAGAACCGTCGTTGACCGCCACCGCCAGGCCAGAGCCTTTGGTGGCTCCGTGCCGGTGCCGTGGCTCCATGCGAGGTGTCCATGCGCTGCTGGGCGAACTGATGGCTCGTGGCCGCTCGTGATCGGACGAAAGAGGTCATCCAACATGACAGAAAAGATCGGACGAGACTGAGGGGAAGAAGGGACAGGGAATTGATCTGTGATTTTAGGAGAAATGGTACGAAAAGGAGGACACGTTTTTCTGATACAAAACAGGTTGTCGTCCACCGCAAGCAGTCTGTGGACATGATGGTACATGGAAAAACGTTCTTCACAACCAGTCTTTCAATCCATGGGGGAATTTCATGGAATTTCAACATTTCCGGCTGAACCGGTCAAGTTGCCTGTTTTTCCGGCTGATTTCACGGCCTCCCGACTCATCCCTTTTTCCCGCCTCCGCCCGAGGAGTTGCATCGAGTCGTGGGTGGCGGCGCGCTCGCAGCAACGCTTGAGACCTGATCTGCAGGAGCGCCCGGCAACCGTTGAGACCGGTGTGTGTCGGGGCGCCGAAAGAGGCCGTGTGTGCGTGGTGCGGCGCCCCAAATGTTGTTGGCGCAGTTGGCCCAGTAAAGAGGGGCCATTTGTTTGGTGCCCCAATGGTTCGTTTTTGGGGATGTGTAAGGGCACCGGTTGGTCATCAAGTTTGGAAGATGTTCTGTTGATGAGAAATACTGGAGCTGGTTCTGTTTGGTGATCAAGAAAAGGGGCCGTCATGTTTTTTCAATTTGGGGGTGCCTTCGGTCCTGGCGTATGACAGCTGGCCCAGCTGACTAGTCTACGACCACTCTTTGGAACCAACCCTCCACGGCCATGCAGTGAACCCTGTCTCGCGCCCGGCAGGGTGGTGATCATACCCAGCCGCGCATTTGCTGCGACCTGCCCCGTCCTCGGCGTGATCCGCGTCACTGGCGTCTGGATTTGTGAGCGATGTAAAATGCATTGATTCAATTCCAGGATTCAAATGAAGTAAGGGAGGCGTCAAAGCGGGAGACACAGACTCACTCTGGACGAGGTGTGGGGAGCCCTATCAAGCTGAACACCACCCGGCCCACCTGTGCGACTGTCTGAAGGCTGGAAGTTGAACCCGGTGGGGGACGGTGCCTGAAGCCCAAAGCAAAAGCAGCCCTGTCAGCCTGTCAGCCTCCTGAACACTTTAAACAGAATTCTTCGGTGGACTAGATGAACAGGTGATACATGGTTCCATACTTGAGGATGAGCCCATGCCCTAGCTGGCCAAAGATTGTTTTCAAGCACCTAGCTATCAATCCTAGGAAAGATAATTTGTTGTCTCCAGGCGACTTCAATCTACCTGGACCTTCCAACTACCAAAAAAATATGGTAATTTTTGGTCGCTTTTTTGTTGTTTGTTATTTTGCGGATTTTTGTGGTCGTTTGTTGGCTTTTTGTGTGCGTTTTGCGCTAATTTGCGGTCGTTTTGTCGGTTGCGCTGATTTGCGGCCGTTTGTGCGCAAAACCGGGTCAATAACCAAAACTACCAGAATTTTTGGTAGTTGGAAGATCCAGGTAATTAAGTTCTTCCACCTGTTTCACTCCCTCTTTGCCACTCCTTCCTGTCTCCCTTCTGCTTGTTTGCGCCACCCCAACGGCTTGTTTGTCGTTCGTTCGCCTTTGGGGCCCTCCGTCTCGCTTTATGAGGCGCACCTGCAGAGCTGCTGGGCGGAGCTTCGCGAGGAGATCCGCTCCATCGGACTGCGCTGGGCGGCTGGGACCGATGGAGTCGGCGGATGCGCCGGCGAACGTAGTCGTGGTCGTTGCAGTAGATGACATATAGACATACCATCAATAGAAACAGTAGGTGTAGAGTACATATGTGCACTATCCTCAAGATGGTTTGCCACTGTAATCCATAGTATAGGCTGCCTATACAGGCTGGATGTCTAAGCATATAAATTGCTCAAACACATGTTTCCATGTTAACCCAATGGTTTCCGCTGCCAGGAAGGTTCAGTAAGCTTATAAGTAAGCTAGCTTAGTAATTTTGC